TGGGGTTTGGAATACTTACAGTTGCATCTATCTATCTTATGAGATACCTTGGAGATGGGAGCCAGATCTAAACATAGATTTCATTTGTGTTTCATATACACCTTATAAACATAGTGTGTCCTGGGCAAGTCTTTTGAATTTTCAGAGAGAACATAGTCCGTGGTGTGGGGACATTGAATTTACTCAGAGACCATGAACACTTTGTGCTTAGCAGTGTTCAAAAATAGGGTCTTTAAAAACACAATTTGTTGAGAGGAAGGGGGCAACCCAGAGACAAAAACAGAAGAGCTTGATTTCATTTGCTGGAATGTGAGATTGATGTTTTAAGTCTTCTTCTTGTAGTTAATGGAAACTAGGAAAAATGGGAGGGAAGGCTTCCTCCTCAAACCAACGACAGCTTGGAAAAGTTATTTTTTGGACTACAAATACCGTACTCCCTCCTCCCTAAAAATTCCCAGCAAGCATGGCTAGTGCTCCAGTTGGTTGGGGATCTTCTGGAAGGTTTAGTCCAAAAAGTAACTTCCAAAAGCTTTGAAACAAGTGTTGTTCTATGATTGTTTAGAGAAAGAAGTTGGTAAGTAAGGGGGAGAGAATGTGAGAGGAAAAGCCAAAAAAAAAGAAAACACAGTTCTCAAACTTGTTCAAGGCAGCAAGCCCTGGGGCAGAGCTGTGCCCTTGGAGTGTCCTGGCATGGCCTTTCTACCAGATGGTTCCTGCAGGAAAGAACTGCAATAAGGAGAAGGGAGGGAGCTTCTGAATAGCCGAAGGCAGTCTGTGTTCACAAAAGCGGACAGGCTGCGTCATTTTGACCCCGATATGACTACCGAAAGCGCTCAACTGGGCATTTGATGGAGGGCTTTGAAGCCTTTCCTTTGTCCTCATGAAGTCTGTCTTTCAGCAGCACAGGACTGAGTAGCATACACCTCAACCCAGAGCAGGGGAGTTACTTTTTTGGGCTATAATTCCCAGACAGCATTGCCAGTTATAATCCCAAAAGTAGCTTTTTTTTTTTTCAACCTTACTGCTATGACTTTCCTAGAAATGCAAGCAAGTTAGGTTGACCCTTTTAAACTATGCCACATGTTGCTTCAAATAAATCCATGAAAGTTAATGAGAGTTCCTTATATAACAAGGTAGATGAAGGAGAAACAGGGACAAGGGATGTCCTCCATTCTTAGGAAAGGCTTAGAAGAGGTGAGGTAGTAAACCTCATATGCTATGTGTCAATATTACAGACTTCTGTGATGAGTGATTGGTTGTATGATAGATAAATATATTATTGACTGAAGTTATAACCAGTCTATTAGAAAGTTTCCCCACAAGCCAACCTGCAATACAAAGATACACAAACAGGACAGGAAAAAAGAAATAAATACAATCAAAATGCCACAGCAACTTACAAAATTATTGTCTTATCCTATGTTAGTTGTTCTAAATTGTCTATTGCTGATATATTGACTATCTCCTCCCTCAAGATCTCCAGATATTGGGTGAGATAGTAATACTTTAATATAAAAACAATGTTGCAGCTCCTTTGGCTTTCCCCCTAGAACATGTCTTCCCCAGCCCTGGTTTGCAGATGGAAGGGAATGTCTTGTAAAGTCCATGGTGTATATGTGGTATTTTCTCTTCATAACATAATGATGAAGGCTCTCCTTCAGTGTCATTGGCCACAGAGGAGGCTGAACCTGATACAAATTATTTGGGTCTTTCTTTTAGACTATTTCCCCCCTTTATCCAGTCTCCATTTGACAAGCTAGATCTCTTCCCTTCTCTATCAGTTACACCTGCTCCTTACAGTCGAGAGATTGAAGGGATGCCCCATGATGAGGAATCCTGATTTAGCTGATAACCTTCTCTCTCCTCTTTTGCCATTCCCTGTTTCTCTTTGCTGAGTTCTGCTTTCTTTCATTCTTTAAATCCCCACCCCAGCTAACTGGGTTAATTAAAACCATCAAAGGCAAAATAATTTGTAGTTACATGGGAGAATGTTCCTTCTCCCTGATTTCTTTAACCTGCTGCAATAAAACTTAAAAGGAGGAAGATTGTACTCTTTTTATATACAGAAGGAATACTATCTTCTCCTCCATCCTGCTGGCTCAGGAAGTAATACTAGAAGGGCCTGTAAAAGGAAATGTGGGATGGTGATGATGATGATAATGATCTTTATCTTTATCTTTATTTATACCCCATCTTTTCCCTCATTCCAGGACTCAAGGCAGCTTACAAATGAGAACAAATACAACATAGTTAAGGTATTGGTGACACTAACTAATAGGGATCTCACTTGACACAGAACTTAGCAAAAGCCTCTTTTTTGTGTGGGGGGAGGTATACAACCCTCAGAATCCCCCATGCTAGCCATGTTGGCTGGGAGGATTCTGGGAATTGTAGTCCCCAAAAAAGGTCTTTTGCAAAGCTTATCAGCCAGCAAGCAGTGACTCTCTTTCCCCTTTTGTGTATTCTCAGGTTGAGCAGTCTTCCCTACAGGCCACTCACCAGCACAGGCGGGAACTGCTGAACAGAATGTGCAGCCGTTACACCCGCAAGCGTCGCCTCCTGACTCCGGATGACTTGCGCCACCTGGTTGTCGACGACATCCATGGGCTACTTTACTGCTACGTCCCCAAGGTGGCTTGCACTAACTGGAAGCGAGTCATGATGGTCTTGACAGGGCAGGGCAAATACCAGGATCCCCTGGAGATCCCAGCCAATGAGGCACATGTGCCCTCCAACCTACACACTCTCTCTGAGTACAGCATCCCTGAGATCAACTATCGTTTGCGAAACTACCTCAAGTTCATATTTGTTCGTGAGCCTCTTGAGAGGCTGGTCTCAGCTTACCGCAACAAGTTCACCCGCAACTACAACACGGCATTCCACAAGCGCTACGGGACAAAGATCATCCGACGGCATCGGCAGGACCCCACGAACGAGGCCCTGGAACGTGGCCATGATGTACGTTTTGAGGAGTTTGTGTACTACTTGCTGGATCCACGGACGCAGCATGAGGAGCCTTTCAATGAACACTGGGAGCGAGTGCACTCCCTGTGCCACCCCTGCATCATCCACTATGATGTGGTGGGCAAGTATGAAACATTGGCCAAGGATGCCAATTACATCCTGCGACTGGTTGGGGCTGATGCAGGCGTCAAATTCCCATCCTCCTCCAAGACCACCAGGACCAATGATGACATGACAGCTAAATTCTTCCAAAACATCAGCCCCTTCTACCAAAGGAGATTATTTAATTTATACAAAATGGATTACTTGCTTTTCAATTACACCATTCCTTCTTATTTACGCATCCAATGAGACTGACCCTTCCTACCCTTGCTGTGATGGACAGTCTATTGTTTAATAGTGCAGCCACAATTCTGTCTCTTCCTTCACCGTTATTTCAGTTGAAAGAATCTACTGTTTTTCACCTATCACTTAACCAAAGATATTTTTCTAGCAAGTAGCAGAACTGAGTAGTGGAATTGTGGCCCATTGTTAAAAGATGGGAGACTCACTCTAGAATATTCAGAGAAGCAATAAAATGTGTGCGTATTTTTATGTGTTTGCTTAAAATTCCCTAAGCTTTTCTCTTCTTCATGGAATGAAGAAGGAGGAATGTGAGCCAGAAGTGTCTTGTTGTGGACAGCGTCTTAGTCTGAACTGGAATTACCTTTGAGAAGAAGCCTATTTCATCTCCACTAACCTGCCCCTTCTCAGCTGCCATTTGGTATAACTGGCTGTTTTCCACAGCCACAGCCCACCCAAATCCATTTGTGCAAACTCAGCAGGCATGAGTAGACACTGCATTGGAGCAGTGCTTAGTAGATTCTTCCCTTAGGTTATGTGCATGGGTGTGGATGTGTGGGTGCGTCCACTTGTGTATGTGAGTGCCATGACCAGAAAAGTACTAATCAGTGACTAATTTCAGATATTAAAATGCATGTTAAAGCATGGCTGTGTGAAGGAGTGGTTATGGTTTTCTCTTTTTTGGGGGCCCAGCGCAATGTGGACCTAGCCAAATTAAGCTTTTCAACCACATTCTTCAGTTTAAACTTAGAAGGGAAAGCAGTTTTAAAAAAACTGGGATGAGATGGCCAGAAATATTTTGCTGTGTGCAGAAAAACACACTGTATAACAATTCACATCTGTACATTTTGAACCTCATTGATTTCTAGCCATAAAGAAGGGATGACTGTCCCTCATGTTTCGCTCTGCAAGGGAAGAATGTAGAACAGGCTTCCTACACCTAGTTTGTTCCTTTTTTAAATGATCCCAGTTTGTCAGTTTCTCTCATGTTACTGCCAGTCCTGAAACTAAGGAGCCATTGATCTAGGCAACCTTTCCCCTTTAAGGGCCGAGGGACTTCAGCTCCCAGAATCCCAGGAGCTATTGGCCAACATGGGACTATTGGCCAACATGGCTGAGGCTTCTGGGAGCTGAAGTCCCTCGGCCCTTAAAGGGGAAAGGTTGCCTACCCCTGGCCTAACCCTTAGAGAAGAGATGGTAGACTTGGAGAGAGCTGGCTCAGTCAGAATTCTAATTTTGAAGCTGGGTTTGGTTCAAACTAATTAGCTGAGTAGTGAACAAGACTGTTTGGTGTTCCTTGCTTTGTCCTTAGCCTATATCTGGACAGTTGTGTGTGTGTGTGTGTGTGTGTGTGAATGTGCATATGTGCCTTGAAGTCACCTTTCAACTTACGATGACCCATGAATTTCATAGGGCTATCTTAGGCAAGAGATTATTTTGCCAGTTCTTTCCTTTGAAATACAGCCTATAGTACCAGGTATTCTTTGGCAGTCTCCCATCCAAATACTAACCAGGCTGACCTGCTTAGTTTCCTTGATCAGATGGAATCTGGTGCCTTTGAGTATTTAGGCTTTGTTATTGTTGTGTGCCTTCAAGTCATTCCCAATTAATGGTGGTCCTAAGGCAAACCTATCATGAGGTTTTCTGGGGCTGAGTGTGTGTGACTCACCCAAGATCCCCCAGTGGGTTTCCATGGCCAAGCAGGGAATTGAATCCTGGTCTCCAGGATCATAATCTGGTGCTCAAACCATTACACCATGCTGGCTTAGATTTAGGCTTACCTTATGTTAAATTTGGATTATTCCATAAAACATTATAAGGTCTGTGTATCAGTCAGTTTTCCCAATCCAGAGTGGCTGCCTTCTTTTCAGGGATCAGGCCCATCCCCATAATGTTACTTTCTTTTATAGCAAAAGCCCTTTAAAATCCTGAAGAACTGAGTGCACTGTAGAAAAGAAATAGTAGAAAACTGTACTGAGTGACTGTGGCGATTATCACATGGGGGAAAATTGGAAGTATAAATGGTGACTAACCCATGATTAACCCACAATTGAGTGAACGGTTTTCACCTACAAAGCGCTGTTATCCCGTGCAGGATCTGTAATTAACCCACACTTGCGTGCATATGCGAGAATGGTTTTCACATGACGTTGAGACGTAATGTAATTAAAGTGCCATTATCCCGTGAAGAGCCAGACAAGAAACAACAGTAACTCATTTACAGAATTTCCCCATGAATGACTTTTTGCTGTTTCTTGCCTGGTTATTCCCTGGTTCTCCACGGGATAGTGGCACTTGCGTTAATGTCATTTTAAGCATGTTTTAATGTCAATTGCGTGATTTTCATGGATTAATCATTGTTTAAACTCCCAATTTCCCCCGTGTGATAAACTCCTATGTGAGTGTAGAAAAGGTATTTGTGAATGGAGAAGTGGACATTTTGACTGGATGTGGAAACAGGAAGGAAAGAGAGAACTGAAAGTGAGTGAACAAACTAGTAAGCCCTTGTCAGTCTTCCTAGCTTTGGTGCATTTGTACTTGAAGAGATGGTCCTAGAACTGTACATTTGATTGAGTCCTTCTGGACTGTTTGCTTAAATAAAACTGCATTTTTGTCTCTACTGTGTTACATTTGTTTTTGTCTCTCTACTCAAAGGATCACCACTATTAAGCAAATGTACTGATAATACGAGGGATATCATAAAGTCTCAATTATCACCTTGAAAAGAATTTGACAGAATGTTTTGATTTAATTTGTAGTTGTTAACTTATCTCCACATAGTCACCATCCAGATTTACACATTTCCCCCAGTGTTTCTTGACCCTCTGAATACCTGATATTGTAGAAGTCTGCAGATTGCACCTTAAGAGGATTTTACACTTTAGTCAATCTGCACAACCTGTCACAAAAATAAAGGGCATAGTGAGCTGATTTTCTCAACATCATGCACTTAGGGACCAATGATGACACTAAGAAAATTTCATCATAACTACGGTACCCCCTCGTAAAGCACAATCTGCAGACTTCTACAATATCAGGTATTCGGAGAGTCAAGAAACACTGGCAAAAATGTGCAAATCTGGATGGTGACTACGTAGATTTAAGTTAACAACTACAAATCAAAAAAACTTTCTCTCATTTTTTTAAAGATGATAATTAAAACTTTATGATACCCCCTCATAGGATCACTGCCCAACAGGGGTGGGGAGCTTGTGGCTTTCTAGATATTGTTGGATTGCAGCTTTTGTCAGCCTAGCCAGCAAAGGCAGTGTTGGGAGGCTGATGGGAAGTTGTGGCCCACCAACATCTGGAAGTCCAAGCATTCCCTCCACACCTGCTGGACAGCTTGCTTTATTGTATTTTGAATACTTGGACTGGTGCAATAGTGTACTGGGTGTGCCTGGGTGGAGGCTGTTTTGAGGCTTACCAGATATACATGTTAAAAGCATAGGTTTGGTTCTGCTAACTTCACACTTTTTCAGTATGCCATTCTCTCCCATATTTGTCTGGTTTTCGTTAGGTCAAAATGAAGTCTTTATGTGGCACTGTAGGCAAGTAATAAAAAGGTTTTTAAAAATTATTTTCATTGATTTCAAAATTAAAATTAACACAACAAGTTACAAAATCATTAAACACATAATTAACTTATCAACATATAAAAGTACTTCCCACCTTCAGAGAATTGGTTCTTACTTCTATTTACTAGCATTTCTTTCTCCTTAATAAAAAGTTATGATGCTCATTAACCTCTAACAAGACCAAATTTTACTTCCAAAACAGCGATTATTATTATTTTTTGAAAAGAAGTTTCCAGTCAGTGGCTTAGGGTTTTTGTAACTATATTTCACTTATCCTCCAAAGAACTAAGCATGGTATATGTTACTCCTCCCAAAAGCCCTGTTAGGTAGGTTACTCTCAGAGATGGTCTCATCAGCCCACATCAGACTCTGTCCACTCGACCACAGTGGCTGCATTAGATTTGTCCCCTCCTGGAGCCTTTCCCTCCATTTCTGAAAAATAGGGACATGTGTGCCTATTGTTAGTGAATGTCCTCCACTTTTCTTGTTATTTTAGAAGCATGTGGAGTTCCCTATGATCCCAGCTTGACCCTTGGGAGATGGCAGCCATAATCCACTAAATGTAAGGTCATGTAGGCACTGAGAGAGTTGCCCAAGACCATTAGAGATTTCCTGGACAGGCAGGTTTGGGAGTTGCCCTTGGGAATATCCTATTATCCTGGAAAAGATAATGGTGTTGGTTTGTCTTAAGTCTCACACTTAATGGGTCAGTGATCAGCTTTGATTGCACCCCTTTCTCTAGCTTCCCTTCCTTGATAGTTTTGAAACCAAATGCATTGTTTAGGCTGTGCCTATACTTAGGTAAACAAAGATAAACCCATCAAGCCTTTGTCCTCCTATTGTTAGGCTCATAGCTAGGAGGCAGAAATCGCCCTTGAAAACCACTGGATTTTGGCAGTCCATGTGCTACCTTGGAAGTGCATGCTGAATCTGTCAGTTTGTGCTCTGAGATAGTTCTCGCGACCCCCCCCCCTTGCCAGTCATGCGCCTCCACTGAATCCATCCGCATTCGCTGCCAGAAGTCCAGAGGAGTCTCTCGGGCATAAGTATATCCCTCTTGCCTTGGTCTCCCTCTCTGCTTTCCCTGCTCTCTCCCACTTATCCTTCTAGTATGTGTGTGTGTGTGTGTTATTTGGATGTTTGCTTATTGTGTTAATAAATATTTTATACTTTAATTAGAGTTTGGTCCGTCTTAGCGTCATTCCCTGCCAGAATTCTTAAGTCTCTGGTATACATCTGGATAGATCTCGTGAGGCGAAGTTGGGCGTTTCACTTTCTCATATTTGAGTTAATTATAAATTCCCCAAAAATAGACTTGTTTCCCAACAATATACACACAAATGCAAACATACAAAAGCTTGATACGCTTCCTGTCATTTTTCTGCCAACGTGTCCCATGAATCCCAGGAACGCACTGTAAGACAATACTACTCATCAGTGTGCTGACCACTGACCATCACATATTACAAGGAGCTCTTCTCCTTGGCCTTTGCACCCCATAGCTATTGACTGTAAGGAAGTTGACACTTGATGTAGGGTTCTTATTTGGAAAACAAATGCATAAAATTGGACATGGTGTGGATGCAAAAGATTGTTCTTATTGCTTTCCATGTTCTTCAGTTACTACATTTAGTCTGGGAAGCTTAACACCGTGTTGCTTTCCATCTCTTCTTGGGTGTGCTTTCTCAAATGCTTCCTTCCATGCACTACCAAGTCTGGGAAGCTTAACACCATGTTGCTTTCCTTCTCTTCTTGGGTGTGTTTTCTCAAATGCTTCCTTCCATGCACTAGCAAGTGGCTTTTGTATTAATCTGCAGTCGGGGATGCTGTTCTGCCCTTGTCAGGTATCAGTGTGTCGTCCCCCCCCCCCCACATACACACACACACAGCTGCCCCATCTTGCTGTGACTGAGCTAATTTCTGCACTCAATGTTGGATACCTTCATGAAATGGAATCCACATGACAGGATGGATGAAACACAAAATAACCTCTACTGCGCTTCTAGAGTCTGCATAAAATCAGTGGGATCCAAGTATTTACCTGTGCCTCTAAAAGGCTCTGGATTCTTTTTATTTAAACAAAGCTCATTAACTTTTTATCCTGCTTTTCTATCAGTAAAAATCAAAATATGTGGTCTAAGTGGCATAACATCATCTTTAAACTACAAGATAAAAGAGCAGTGTATGAAAACTTCATGGGATGCAGTGGCTCAGGTGGTTAAGATGCTGGTTTTGTTGATTGCAAGATCAGCAGGTTGGCAGTTCAAAGCCTGGGTGCTGCATGATGGGGTGAGCTCCTGTCACTAGTCTCAGCTTCTGCCAACCTAGCAATTTGAAAGCATGCAAATGCAAGTAGATAAATAGGTACCACTTCAGTGTGAAGGTAACAGCATTCTGTGCAATCATGCTGGCCACATAATCACAGAGTAGTCTCTGACAACACTGGCTCATTGGCTTAGGAACAGAGATGAGCATTGCCCCCTACAGTCGGACATGACAATCTTGTCAATGGGGAATACCTTTACCTTAGGAAAACTTCACCACCCGGAGTATCAAAATAATAACCAACTCAACAGTTAAGAAGAAATGCATGTTGGAATAAGTGAGTTTGGAATGATCCAATGGTCAACTGCACTCAGAAGGATATTCCAGAGTAAGGGGTGGATGAGATTGTGGTGGGTCTAAAGACCTCTTTTAGGCACAAGAGTCCTCATAGATGCCAAGAGGGAAGAAGTGATTGGAAGTCTACCTCTGCTTTTGAAAAATGGCTGCAGCCTCTTCAGAATGTAAATTGTGCCTCTGGAGACTTCCATGATAGGCCATTCAACTTTCTTTTGGGGGCCACAGAAAGGACTGTCTGGAAGGATCTAGAGATCTAAGGAGCAGCACATGTGGGCCCAGCACCATGCTTTGCCAACTCCTACCATAGTGTGTGCTTTGTTGAAGACAATTACCCAGCTCCCAAGCATCTGAGGGTAGTGGCACAGATCACACAGCTTCAGGTATACCACTGGCCATGCTAGATATTGCTTAGTCAGAATCAACACATCTGGATGGCCTAGGAATCTCCCTCTCTAGGTTATAAATACACATCAGAAATGCATAAACCATGCTAACACAATAGGGGTAGATCCAGGGCCCCAATGAAATCAATGGGACAATTTAGTCATGAGTTACTTTGGTACTC